ACACACACACATACACTTTTAATGCTGCTCAACTTTGTTTGACATTTGAAGTGTAAAGAAATTGCACCTTGCAATTTCACCTTGCACCTAGGTGCAGCTTGCACCTAGAACGGCAGGTGCAAGCTGCAGGATTAAAAAGACCTAAATTTCACAAAGTCGACCAAGTGAAACCAAATTCTACAAAACAGTAAAAGCAAAAAAGACACGAAGGGATAAAAAAAACTGACTGAAAATGGGACTATGCAGGGATTTAAGAACAGGTATGCTAATTACTAAAAGAAGCTCAGGTTTGACATAAAAGTAAGATGAAATTAACACATTTACAGATACTAACAAATGGGAAAGGAAATATGAAATATAAAGTTAAAAAAAGGTAAAAGTCAGTGGTGAACATGTTTTTTTCTAATGAACTAACCTAATAGCGGAACTAATTTTCCGTTCAGCGGATTAGCTTTTTCACAAACTTTGAAAACTGTTGGTGGACCAAGTAACTTAATTGTTTTGTTACCTTTAAGTCCACTAACAGCTTACTAACAAACTAACATTAACATGTTTGTGTCAGTCCCACCAGTCTTCAGCTGTAAGGAGACAAAGATGTGATTCAGACTGAATGAGAGTCATCTTAGCAGTTAGCAATTAGCTGTGCTAATTTTTACTTGTTTAGCAGTTTAGCATTAGCTTCTGCTAACTTTTTATTATTTATTTTTATTTTTTGGCTTTAGTGAAGCTGTAAAATACTTTCAATTAGTGCATTGCGAGTTAGTTAAGCTAATTTGTTGGTTAGCTGTGCCTACTGCTGGTAAAACTCAGTGGTGGGCAGCACTGATCGAAAAATTTGTTCCACTAGCCCTAAAATGCTGACTCAAATATTTAGGTCCCCTAATTCTAAAGCACTAAAATAACAAAATAACCCAGTCAACCCATGGAACATTCTTCAACAGACAACGTGAGTCACATGTTGTCATGTTGCTCTGTAAGGACTTATCACTGACATTCCATATCTGAGTTCATATATTGTCACCTAGTGGACAAGTGACACATATATGAACAAAATGTATGACAGCTTTCACCTTCAGCTGTTAACAATAAAGTTGATCATTAACATTTATAGATCTCAGTCAGTGCTTCTAAATTTAGCCTATGCTAATACATTGTAAAATTTGCAAAAACCCTAAAGCACCAATCAGGAAATTAGTTCCCCTATTAGTGCTTTAAGGGAACTGTGTCCACCACTGAGTATACTAAACYTATAAATCTAAGACCGGGTGACACATAATAGCAAAAATAAGTATTTTTCCAAATATTTTTATGCAGTTGTTTTTTATTACTAATGCAATAATTTAAAGAAAGCTCAGTGTTGTCAAATAGGCTTTAGTCTGCAAAAGAGATAATGTGCAGATGCTGATGTGCTGATTTCCTGTAGGCTACAAAACATGTATTAAATGTGTTTAATTTTTCTACTTGTTTTCTCTGTTGCCCTCTATTAGATAGGACTAAAAACTTTTATGCTAAGCTAAGCTACACAGCAAATTGTGTTTTGTCTTTTTAAATGAAAGTCATTTTTTCTGAAATTGCATTTTCCTGCCTGAATAAATTAGGGATCTTTAAGTGACACAGATAACATCTATTAAACTGAACAACTGATAAGCTATTGATATTTAGATAACCAGAAGTAAAAAAAAAAAAACATGGATGGATGAAATGTGTATTGTGAAGCATTTTAATGATGTTAAATTGTTTCTTTAGTAAAGGTGAAAATCAAAATAGCATGTTGCAACAATTTTGTTTTCGACAATACGTCATATACAAAATACACAATGACCGGGTTTAAATTTATATTTTAAAATTTGATTATATTTTTATATATTTTTCAAATTACAGATCAACGTTAGTCATTTAGAAGGCAGAATCCTGCAGCAGTAGATGCTTCGTGTTGTAAAGTTAGAGGAACACTTACGTCAGAGTCCATCTTTATGGAGCGGATGCAGCAGTTAATCATAATGACTGTTTGTGTTATACAGGGAGTCACATCTCATTTCCATTTAATCTGCTGATAAGTTTACAACATCGCTACGGTAAGCACAAAGTTCCTCTGCACTTTGACTATGACTTCCATCCAAGAGCTGTTTCCACAGCAACATCTTATGACTTCAGACAGGATGAAATTATACAGATGGATTTTGAGTTTACTGACGTTAAACCTAAAACAGAGGCTCTACTGTTGGTTCCATCTACCTAAGAACCCTGGAAAATGGCCATGAGTCATGTGTTTATAGTCTTTGGTATTTTTATTATTATAAATAGCTTTTGTGGCAGCAAATAACAAAATTTAAAAATCAAAAATCAGAGAATCACAGAGGGATCCAATACGCAGGGAGTGATGACGCAAGTGGTGACTGTTGGGACTAAAGAATACAATCAACAGGTGTGTGAGATGTTATACTGGGCAAAAACTTACTGAGGGACAGAAATGACTGGTGACAGAGGGAGAATAACTGAAAAAACATAATAACAAAAAATAAATACAGATCATGACATTCTCCTCAGAGGATTATCTTTGTTTAATGCTCTGGCGTAAAATCTAAAATGCATTTCTTCAAGGAATTCTAGGCTTTTAATCCTTCTGAGAAACATCAGCGCATTTAAGGACAGACAAAAAACGTAGACCTCGTTTCTTTTGTACAAACGTGTGAGCACTGTAAAAACAACAGAAAAAAACAGGTAGCACTCATTATCCTTTCCTCAAATGTTTAAACAGGAAGCGTCGCAGTACAGTACTGTTTGTACTCCCTTCTCACACTTCAAACTTTTGTGATTTGTGTCTCCCAGCAGCTGGGTTGGGCTTTTTTTTCAACTGTCCACCCTTTCCCCCCCAAACCCTATAAATAGCAGTTGCTTCAGAGGGCAGAACAATACTGGGCCGGCTCAGTCGTTTATACATTCCTGGCACTGGCAGCTCAAGCCGTCTCCACCCTCTACCTGACTCACATCTACTGAATGTAAACACACTCACAGTGAAAGAGGGGAGAATAATCCTCCAACACAGATGTGCATTTCTGCATTCCAGTCAGATTACTGTTGTTAAAACTGGTTTTGGGTCTTGTTGTACCGGTGACTTTTTAACCTGGAATTCTTTAATCCATTACCAGAACTGAAGCAAGTGTAGTTGCCTTCCATTAAACCMCTAATTAGCCACTTATTGTCATGAGCTGAGGGACTGAGAATGTACACCAACAGTTTGAGTCTCATAAAGCACAAAACGTCAAACAAACCTCTTACACTTGTTGTTTGGTAAAGATTGGGCAGAAAGTGAAATTTAGTCTAGTCCACGTGTCAAACTTAAGGCCTGCACCATGGTGTTTTTTTTTTTTTTTTTTTTGCGTGGTTTATGTGTGACCACAACTCATCAGTGAGNTTTTTTTTTTTTTTTTTTGCGTGGTTTATGTGTGACCACAACTCATCAGTGAGTAAAACGCTCTCTTCTTTTAATTTTAACTGTATTTCTGTATTATTTATTTCACATTTAGTCAGTCCATTATCCATCCTTTATTTTCCTTTTTATCCAAAGTCGGGTTACGGGGGCAGCAACTTGAGCAGGGAAGCCCAGAACTCTATTTCCCCAGCCACATCTTCCAGCTCTTCTGGGAGGACTCCAAGGTGTTCCCAGGCCAACCGAGAGACATAGTCTCAGGGTCTCCTCCCAGTTGGACATGCCTGAAGCACCTCCCTAGGGAGGCGTCCAGCTTAGGAGACATCCTTAGAAGATGCCCAAACCACCTCAGCTGGCTCTTCTCGATGTGGAGGAGCAGCGGCTCTACTCTGAGTCTCTCCCGGAAAACAGAACTTATCTTTTCTCTAAAGGACAGTCCAGCTACTCTGCGCAGAAAACTATTTTCATCCGCTTGTATCCGTGATTTTGTTCTTTTAGTCACTACCCAAAGTGAGTGCTCATAAGCGAGGGTAGGAACTGATTGGTAAACAGAGATTTTTGCCTTACAGCTCAGCTCCCTCTTCACCACAACAGACCGGTACAGAGTCCGTAAAACTGCGGAAGCTGCACCGATCTGTCAATCAATCTCACGCTCCATTCTTCCCTCACTCATGAACAAGACCCCAAGATACTTGAACTCCTCCACTTGAGGCAGAACTTCACCCCCAAACCAGAGACAGCAATCCACATTTAGTCTGGCATACGTTTTAGTATTTATAAGAGGATGTGTTAAAACTGTTTCTATGCACAAAATACCACATCGAGCTTACTGTTTGTTAGCAGTGCTTAGATGTAGCAATGAGACAAGGAACGTGACGTTTCGTGAAAGTTAAACACGAAGCGTCAAAGTTCATTACAACTGGTCCTTTGAGGGCCACCATAATGCTCATGTGGTCCTCGGTGAAAATGAATTTGACTCCCCTGGTCTAGAGCTACCAAATAACTCAAGCTCCGCATAAAAATGCAGATAACTTGTGTGTTACTGATTTTAATTTCTCATGCTCATTTAGTATTTGCATACTTTTCTTGGTTTTGCACGTCTGTTCGACTGACACTGCAGTTTGTTGGATTAGTGCAAACAACAGAAACATTATGACCTGCCTGTGTGCAGTTTCACCTCTTCAGGGCAATGCACAGAAGTGAGTGCTTTTCAGTAAATGAGGAAGAGTCTACAATTCATGATCACTTTACTTTGGACAAGTGCCAAGAGAATCTGAGCGTGATACAGCTGCAATAAATCACAACTGGCTTTCAGATCTTGCTGGGTCATTTATAGTTTTTTTGTGCTTGAGCTCCTCTGGGTCTTCTTAGGAAGTGAGAGAGTTTCTGTTTCAGGTCTGCTAGATTTGATCAAAGATAATTAGGAGTCAAAAGTGAAAATTGTCACAGTGATCCCTAAATGTTTTTGCTTCCAACAAAATGCAAACGTATACCTCTGTGATAAATTTTTACGTTTAAGTTTTTATTTTAGTTTAATAAAGCCAATTGAAGAAGTTTCCATTTTCTGGTTTATTCTCATTATGAAGAAAAATACAGATATAAAAATCCCACTGATGTAGATTTGTTGCTAAAAATACTGATGACTTCATGGGTGGTTTAATTTCACTTCAAACTCAAGTCTTCTACCAGAGGCCTGGGAACTGGAGGGTTCTGTGCTAAGGTGAGACATCTGTAATTAAATCCGGGGACATTTCCACTTCGGAGATGAAAAAGAGTTACTTGATATCAAAATGAAATGAAGAAACTGGGACAATTACAGTTTCATTCATTTTTACGTATTGCAGAGACTTTGCAAGTAGCATAGCATCAAGCACTACAGGGGTTTGTTTCAATAACATCATACTTTATCTTCACTCACCCCTTAACAGAAAAGGTTTCCCCTGTATACATTCAGGAAGTACCTCTTACTCATTTACAGACATACACATAAACAACTAACCAAAACAAGTCATTTTTACACTCATGAACATCACTAACAGTCATGTACACATAACTTTTACCAAGTTAGTTTAAAGGTGGTGAGCCCGGCTCTTCCTCGGCTGTTTTGTAACAATAACATCAGCTACCGTAATAGCTGTTGTTGTGGGCAACATTTTTTTATTCATATAAAGATAAAACATATCCGGGGACAGGTCATCCAAAATTAGGACAGTCCCCGGAAATCAATGGTGGATGACTGGTCACTCTAATCTTAGCTGGTTCCAGGACTGTGCTCTTGAGATCTCTGAGGTTGTGATCTTCCAGTTGTAGATTTGGTTTTTCTATTCATCTGGCTTTATAGGACCTGCTTTGTTCTTTGTAGTTACCTGGTTGAGGCTAACTTCCTTGTGGACTCATCATGGATGCCATTTGCCAGTGGGATTTCTATTAGCTGCCCTGAACATCTGAAGTGTTGCTTTCAGGTAGTTCAGCCCCTTCATTTGTGATGATCACTTTGCCTCTCTTGGACTATTTGACTGCATTTATCTAGTCTAAATAGTGTGTCCTTGAGCAAGACACGTSACCTGTGTTGCCTACTGATGATGGTCTGGTGGCGCCGGTGCATGGCAGCCTTGCCACTGTCAATCTGCCCAGGGCAGCTTTGGCTACACTGCTTACCACCATCAGTGTGTGAATGAGTGAATGACTGTAAATATGAAGTGCTTTGGAGTCCGGTGGGACTTGACAAGCAGTTCCTTTACCATTGCTGTAAATCTTGGTGAGGTACCAGTTGGTCTACTTTGGAACCAGTATACCACTCTCCACAATGATTTGGCTGAGGGGCCTCAGAACAGTAATGTGTAGTGTACAGTATGTTCATGGGCAGCCAAAAACACATTTTTATGTCCTAGTCTAAGTTGTAGGTGTTTATTTTTCCTTCCATTAACCTTATTTTACTTTTTATCCATTACTCATTTTCTTGACCTTTTCGTAGTGCATTCTAAACCTACTGCCCAGTACAACACTGCACATAAAACCCTCACAGCAATAACACAACATGTTTTTTCATTGAAGCCCATAATTATCACATTATGTTATTAGATTACATCATAGCCACTGCGACACCTCATCCCAGACATGCTGAGATGATAATCCAATAATTGACGGAAAGGCATTGTGCAAACATGAGGTCTTCTGGTAGGTATTTTACAAGATTTCGTTTGACGGAGAGTGGCAAGAATGTGTTGGCTGATTTGAAATAAACAACTTTTAAGATGGAACCACTGTAGGACTGCGGTTAGAATTGTTTGTCTCATGTCTCATCTGTGATGACACCATAGTGGATTGGCAGTCTATCCAGAATTGGACCCACTACACACCCAAGACCCCAGATTAGCTGGCTTATAGTATGTGGAAAGCATTCATGTTCAATTTCTCTGGATATGCTGCTTGAATTAATCCATTATGTTTTTAAATTTTAACTAACATGCCTCTCATTTAATGGTATTGAGGTATATGAAGTCATTACTGCAGAACTGTGTTTCAGTCAGGAGTTGTTCTTAAATTAACGTCTCAGCAATTCCTTATAAGGATGAGGAAAATGCGCTCATCCTTAGCTGATTTGTTAAAAACAGCTTTGGGTGGTAAACATGTTTGTGTGTCTAATTTTACATCTCAGGAGCCAACTCCTTTACCATAGAAGGAATCGCATATAGGTTGATTCTGCATTGTTAAGCCCGTCCTAGTGAGACGTGGACTTTGTTTACATCTGGGTGTGGCAGAATGTCATAAGAAGGGGAGACCCAGAAAGTTCTGGGGAGTATTTCACATAATTGGCCCAAAGTCTCTTGATTCGGTTTAGGCTGTTATTCTGAATAAAGCTCACTGTTCAAGAATAATTTTTGCCTACGGAGTCATTTCTTTATGCACTCCATCACTGCTGAGATTTTGGAGACCCAGAAGGACGTTCATCATCAGAAGATACTTCAGTATTTTAATGTGAGCCAAAGAATTCATCATCAGTAAAATAAATAAATAAATAAATAAATAAATAAATAAATAAATAAATAAATAAATAAATAAATAAATAAATAAATAAATCTGTTTTTGCTCTATATTCGCTATTGTCTATTTCTTCTCATGTTTACAGTTTGAAGTATCTGCTATATATCTAGTTACAGCACCACATACAGGCCTGGTATAGTTACTACAGCTTTTGCGTTTTCTGTGAATGAAAACATTTCTAGACACAGTGCAGTGATTACAAGGAACTAATTTGCACACAAAGCATTCTGGGTAAATGATGATGCATACCAATTCTCCAGTGCGAGCTCTATCCAGCTTGAAGGGTAATTTTAGACAATGTCTGACATTGTGCCGTTTTAAATGAAACTGGAACACGTTGACAGAGAGGAGAACGTAGAAAAAATTACTCAGCCTGTAACTGAAAATGCAAATGAAGATCAACAGAGCTGCTTCATAGAAGGTGCACCTCAGCTTTAGCCTTTTAGCTATTGCATTAGCTCCTAAACTAATGTACTGTATGGAGATGGTGTTAGCTCTCATCCTGTGCTAAGCTCAGGACCTATATGAGCTAACACTATTAGTATACCATACGGTAGGTCACATCTGTCAAACTCAAGGCTCATGGGCAAAATGTGGCCCTCCACAAATTTTATGTGGCCTGCAAGAGCTTCAAAGATGTCTTTAAATAAGCAAATGCTGTTTTAAAGCCAACATTCAGCTACATTTCCCATAATGCATGTTGATTATCTTATCACAAAAATGATGGCATCCCAACACTAGGTGCACAAGGTTCAAAGTGACTAATGCAATTTGCTGCGTAAAATCTACATTTTTGCCTGTGGCCCAGTTGTACTGGAAAGTGGGAATTTTCCACTTACAACTCGTACATAAACTGGAATGCACCTCCAGTGGAAATTCCCTGTTGAAAAGTCAGCGTTCACAATTCAAGATGGAATCTCCTCATCATAGTTTTTCTGTATTTTTCATTTCACATTTGTTCAGTCACATTTTAGGGTACTTTTCAGTGTTTACTAGAGGACGTGTTAAAACTCTGTTTCCATGCAGGAAAAACCACGTAGAGCTCAGTTATTGGTCGTTAGCTTTGCTCAGCTAACCATGAGATGAGGAACATGTCATTTTCTGTTTATTTGAAGTCATCACAAAACATCAAAGTTAATTAAAACTGGTACTTTAAATGCCACCATGATGATAATGTGGCCCTCGGTGAAAATGAGTTTGACACACACCGTGGTAGGTGATAGCATCATCACATTTGATCATTTTATCCCATATGTGCAAAATGTGTAATTTCTATTTGGTGTTTCACGATCTAAAACTTTAGAAACTATGGAACTTATTTGCATCTAATTGACACTGAAACACCCTTAAACACACAGACAAAAAGAAAACACAGGTACAGAGGAGTAGAGCTGCCACAAATGATTATTTTTATAGTCGATTAATCACCGATTATTTTTTCAATTATTCGACTAATCGGATCATACGTTAATTGAATATACAGCTTATCACGCCAGAATGCAGCTGCTATTAGATTTTAGCTATATGCTAACTAAAAATAATTGCTGTGGAAGGTAAGTTCTGCTATGCAGATATTGCACAGGTTTCTCTTTCATTTTCTTAAAATGATCCCACACTTTTAAGCTCCGTTGTCAGGTAGCCATGATACCAGAGCCTGTCTGTATAATGTCTTGTGACGTCCACGGCCTACCCCAGTTACCACTACTGTGCATGTGTGTCAAGGACAGAAAGGTAGATGTGGCAGTGGAAGGAGTGAAAGCAGTTTGGAGAGAAAAACAAAATAAAGAACAAAAAAAAACCCGATTAATCAATTATTAAATTAGTCATTGATTATTTTAATAATCAATTAGTCGTCGATTAATCCAAGCAGGGGTCTCTGTGGACGAGTGCGGACGAGTGGGTGTGTCACAAAGAAAGGCGATTCTAAAGCAACTTACCTGATACCGTACGGCACAACCTCATTGGACAAGAACAAAAGTGGCGTTACTGTACGTCACCACTTTTTCTGGAGAACCCTACTTGGGTCACATTTGTCCTGGTTAACCTTAGTGTTGGGGTCAGGGTCAGGCTGTAAAGAGATCAAACAGGGTCTGAGGCTGTGTCCAAAACGGCAGGACGGGTCCTCCGAAGGCCGAATTCGTCGGCCGCATACGTCACAGCCCCGCGACAAAGGACGTCCAAAACCAAAGACTCCTCCGATGCGGCAGACAAATACGTCCTTCCTTTTCCCCGATTTGAAGGACTGGTCTGATGGATCCTTCCCGGCCCAGCACATCCCATAATGCATTGCTGCCCGACCGGAGATTTGTTCAAGCTAGTAATGGCGGACGAAGTGAGAGAAAAGAATATGTTTTAAATAAAAATATGGTGATACGGAAATTTAAAAAAATTAGCGGTTGTAATTCTAATTCTTTTATCATTTGTATGGACATGTTTTTAAATATTATTTTTGTCATAAAAAACGTGAAATAAACATGCACCTACAGCGGGTATATTAGTTCTTCAAATGATACTTTTAAGTTAATTTTATAGTTTTGTGATATTAATAATGCTAATGTATTGATATTTTTCTAGTTTTGATTTAAGTTTGCTTGTTTAGCGTCGTCACAGTTGCTAGGTGACATGATGTACGCCGGGGTAAGGAGGGGAGGCTAGACCGTCCAAATTCACAGCCTCTTTTTTTCCGGTCTTCCCGGTCTACCAAGGACCCGGCCCGCCGCGACTGGGGAGTCTGGGTCCTCCGTAGGACCCGACCTGTCGTTTTGGACACAGCCTAAGGATACCGTCATGTAGGCTTCGTAGCCCACAGTGTTTATGCTTTTGACACGCCCACTCTTGTGACACGCCCACTTAGATTCCGCAGATAACCAAGTAGGGGTCTCTACGGAGGAGTGCAGACGAGTGGATGTGTCACAAGGAAAGGCGATTTTAAAGGGACACACCTGATTTGACGGACTTTGTTAAAGGGACACACCTGACTGGACAAGCAAAATAGGGGCGATACCATAYGGCACCACTTCATTGGACAAGAACAAAAGGGGCGTTACTGTAMGGCACCACTTTKTCTGGAGAACCCTACTTGGGTCACATTTGTCCTGGTTAACCTTAGTGTTGGGGTCAGGGTCAGGCTGTAAAGAGATCAAGCTGGATCTAAGGATACTGTCATGTAGGCCTCGTAGCCATGCTTGTGACACGCCCACTCTTGTGACACGCCCACTTTGATTCCGCAGATAACCCCTTCTCGATTAATCGACTAATCGTGGCAGGTCTACCGGGAGGCAGGACTTATTGAGTCAGAGATGCTGCACAGCGCCTCTCAGGCGGCTGTGTGAAGCTGCAGAGAGGAGGACAGCTGCTGTGGGAGGTGGGATCCCAGAGAGAGACACACACACACCGACTCGGAGCAGTCGGCGCGGGCTGAGGGACCACGACAGTCCGGAGCGGCCCGAGTTCGCGGAGCAGCCCGATCTGCTGCTGCTGAAAGCGGCGGAAACATGCGCTGTGACAGAAACTCGGGCGCCGGCGGTTCACTCGTCGTGCCTTCCTCCTCGGCCAGCCCTCCGGCTCGTGGTTCACATGTTCCGGCGCGTCGTCGTCTCCGTCGAGGGAGCAGCAATGTTTAAACGAGCGACAGCGGAGCCCCGCGGAGTTTGGATGTGGGCTTCCTAGCTTGGTTCGGGCACACATTTGTTTGTTTTTTTTTTTGTTTTGTTTTTTTGAGGAGACGCAGCGGATGTAAGCCTTCCGGACGGGGAAAACGAAACACTGTGTGAGAACCTGGCCGCCCGCCGGTGTGTTTGTCGGGCTTAACGCAGCGGAGGAGGAGGAGGAGGAGGAGGGTCACCGAGGATGCAGGTGAAGAAGCACCGGGACTCGGACCGGAGCGGCGGGGACATGCTGGAAAGAGACGGCCTCCGCAAGGCTCCTACATGCTTCTCCAACATCAAGATCTTCTTGATATCGGAATGCGCCCTGATGTTGGCGCAGGGCACCGTGGGAGCCTATCTGGTGAGTCCAGCACATCCAGGACTTCCTCCAGGACTTCCAGCTGCAGTCCGGTCCAACTAGACTGACTGCTAACCGGGTCTGGCCTCAAGCTTTTAGGAGGTTTTTATTAAAAGTCCTGCTGTGACAGAGAAACCTGACTTCATCTCTTTAAAAGTTCATAGATTCGAGTTTGTTTGCAAGTAAATGTTAATTAGTTTATGTCTATTTAACCACATTAAAGCTTAGGTTAGCAGTAATTTAATCCAAAATGGTTACAAATGCATGAAGTGGCAGGGTCACAGGTCATTCAGGATAAACCCTGRGGTTATTATGAACAAATTCAACAGGTCAGTTTATGCTGTTAAACAGATTTGATGTATTTGATCTAAATTGATTTGTGTTAAACTTTCCTTTAAGATCATAGATTAGAGTTTTCATAAATATCTTTCAGCCTATAAATCTGCTTTTTGAGTTTGTTATTGGTGACGTTTCTCCTCATCCAGTGTTTTCTCTGCCAGAATTGGCAAAAAAGCATCAGGTAAAGTAAAAAAAAAAAGTGTCCACTTCTGTCTAATTTAAAAACGTGGGTTTGTTTATACAGATAAACCTCTGTTTCCTGCTCACACAAAACAACTATAATATGATCTATTGACCTACCATGTCAATCAAGGTCAAGACCTCCAAACTCCTCCCCTTCCTCTGTCCTAGTTTTCCAGATGTGCACATCCTTTYACTTTTAGTTACACTGATGACAGACATCTGAATGTTTTTAAAAGGTCACCCCCCACTAGTAAAGTTTATGTTTTATTTAGCCACTGYGATGAAAATGTCAAAACACATGACAGCACAGAGATTCCTAATATAATTTTTTTAAACAAAACTCCCCCGAAGTGTGCTCCACGTTATTCATCAAAGCATCTCAGATGAGCTCTGCATCCTGGAGGCGACCGCTGTGAACATTTTGTCTCGACATTAGCAGTGTTTATTCTCCCTCCCTCCCCACAAGCTCGCTCCCAATTAATAGACTGAACCCTAAATGCCTCAGCCATATTTGGAGTGGAACATCTTATCTTTTTTTTTTCTTGAAGTGGACCTGCTGGGCTCGCTGCAACTCCCAAGCAGCTGTAGAGCACGGTGGTGCCACTCTGATACAAAAAAACCCAAACAAACCTGGTCTGGAAGCCGGTTTTTTTTTTTAACGATATGTTCTGGACACTTTTTTAAACTGAATAAAGCACACACCTGGTGTTGAAGATGGCGTTTTGTTAGACAAACACGTGGGTTGGTGGCGTGCTCCACTGTGAGCCACGAGCTGATTTCCATGAAGTTTTCCTTTGCGCAGACAGACAGAACATTGGGTACCTGGCTCGGYGTCGGCTCTGAAAAGCTGACTTAAACGCTTTTCCCTGATTGGATGACCGTACTTACATTAAGAGTGTTTGTTGGTTGAGGAAGGAGGGGGGAAGTCAATCATCACGGCCCCCCTTTTCCTCCTGTGAGCTGCTTACTGTACAAGACAATTAGCAATGTGTCCTGATTTAACAGCTTAGCTGAAACTGAAAGGTGGACCAACGGAAACACAGATAAAAACTGTTCCCGTTTGTTTTCCACTTTTCTAAATTCACTCACCTAATTTGATGATTTTGTCTTGGCGGTGGAGATGAATGAGTTCAAATCAGCTAATGTGATAAAGAATCAACATCTGAGACAATAAAATTTGATCTCCCRACTAGTTTTTTTAATATGATAACTACTGTCAGAGGACTTGAATTTCGCGCTGCGGTTCTTTGATGCKAACTTCTGCCAAAATCTCGTCTTTACCTTTGCATGAAAGGGAGCTAACGATGCATTTTCTAGACTCCCTCTTCAAATTCAGGTTCACACTGCTTATCTGCAACAGTCACTGGTCAGTCCTAATATGTGACWCATCATATTGAAATGAGGATTAAGTCAAATTTGGACAAAATGACCTAACTACATTTTCAGATTCATGGCTTTAAAAGCTACATTTTSATACCTGGATCATCCTGATATCATCAGCTTATCCAGAGATATGAGTTAATTTGTCTTGTTGGTTACGATAATACATTACTGTTTGGCCTGAATCCTAATTTTATGTAAATTTATTGAGTAATTTTTGATGTTAATATAAAGAGTAAATCTCATAGCATTTGTATCTTAAGATTTCCCAGTTGGATTCATGGTTTTATAAATTTTAAGGCATTTTTCCTCAAAGTCAGTTTTTTTGTTGTTGCTACTGCTCAAAAAATGCTTCAAAAATGTATTTTTAGTATTATATTTCAGACAGTTCATTCAAGTAATACATTGATAAGGCATTTATTATATTTTGACAAAATGCAATTTTTGCACGTTTAAATCAAAACCCTATATCTGCCTATTTTTCCACAGTCCACTTTTGGACTTAATCCTCGTTTCAATGTGATGGGTCACATATGAGCAATAAGGTTTGTCAACTTTCCGCTAACAGCTAACTAACAAGCTAACATCAGCAGGTTTGTGTCAGTCTCACCCCCAATTTACACTGCACGCATCTCCGCTGCAGTGCGCAGGTCGCAGGTGTTCGTTTGTGTCTGAATTTATACAGCCTCCGCTCCGCTCCTGACCGACAGAGTGTGCGGGAAGGAGATCGCGTGATAAATTCAGTGATAACAGCAAAAAATAATTAATTCTGTGAAAGACGAACTCCAAACACAGCTGAAAACATTGATATAAAGGCTTTTGATATCTATGTTGAAACTGTCTCGCTGTCGTCTTTCTGAAACTTCTGATTTCAAAATAAAATCCACGCGTATCGTGTGTGTACACATATGCTTCATGCTACGTTTCCATCTGCTNGTGGCTGGGGAGAGGGAGGGCTGGGCCTCCCTTCTGAAGCTGCTGCCCCCGCGACCCGACCCCGGATAGGCGGAAGAAAATGGATGGATGGATGGGTTACGATAATACATTACTGTTTCGTCTGAATCCTAATTTTATGTAAAGTTATTGAGTCATTGTTTGTTAATACAAAGAGTAAATCTCAAATAGTATTTGTATCTTAAGATTTCCCGGTTGGATTCATGGTTGGTCATAAATTTTAAGGCATTTTTCCTCAAAGTCAGTTTTTTTGTTGTTGCTACTGCTCAAAAAATGCTTCAAAAATGTATTTTTAGTGTTATATTTCAGACAGTTCTTTCAAGTAATACATTGATAAGGCATTTATTCATTATATTTTGACAAAATGCAATTTTTTGCACATGTTTAAATCAAAACACTATATCTGCCTATTTTTCCACAGTCCACTTTTGGACTTAATCCTCGTTTCAATGTGATGGGTCACATATGAGCAATAAGGTTTGTCAACTTTCTGCTAACAGCTAACTAACAAGCTAACATCAGCAGGTTTGTGTCAGTCTCACCCCCAATTTACACTACACGCGTCTCCGCTGCAGTGCGCAGGTCGCAGGTGCTCGTTTGTGTCTGAATTTATACAGCCTCCGGTCCGCTCCTGACCGACAGAGTGTGCGGGAAGGAGATCGCGCGATAAATTCAGTGATAACAGCAAAAAATAATTAATTCTGTGTTAGACGAACTCCAAACACAGCTGAAAACATTGATATAAAGGCTTTTGACATCTATGTTGAAACCATCTCGCTGTCGTCTTTCTGAAACTTCTGATTTCAAAATAAAATCCACGCGTATCGTGTGTGTACACATATGCTTCATGCTACGTTTCCATCTGCTTCCCAAACAGAACGATACATTCTGACAGCATTTGTGTAGAAATATATCCACATATTTATTAAAATAGCTGCAATTTTGACATTATTCTGACAAATTATTCCACCAAGTAGTGTCTTATTTTGAAAATACAGATGTTGTGCTCGTTCCTTTTCCTGTTGGTGCCACTTAATCTTTAAAAATGGACTCTGGCGCAGCTCCAGCATCCTTCAAAAATAGTATCAAATCTAATTTTAACGGATCGCCATCAGCTCACCGCAGCCGTGCGCAGCGGTCGGACCGGAGTGGAGACGGAACACATGTAGTGTAAATTGGGGTTCAGTCTTCAGCTTGAAGGAGACAAAGACGTTTGACGCCAACTGAGTGACAGTCCTCTTAGTGGTTAACCATTAGCCGTTACCGTTAGCTTCAACTAATTTTTACTTGTTTCAGGGTTTCCCCTAGTATATTATAGTCCCCTACTTGTACTTATACTTGTCCACCACCAGCTATAAGCTCTTTGTTTATTTAGAGCCAGCAGCGTTGTGACAACAGGATAAGTAGATATAAACTAGGACCTATGCATTAGCAATGCAGCGCTCCGCTACAACAACATTAGAAACAGACAAGTTACAACAACTTACAATGAAAACCCAGCTTTAGACTCTAAATTACCTACGCTCAGCTACAGTCCACAATCTGCTGAAAGAACTGCAAACATCTCTGCTAATTCTGACCCTACGTGATGATTTCAAAATAACCTACAAGCAAGACTTTGCCTTATGACAAATATAAACAAAATGTCATCCAACAGGTATGACATCATAGCTATGTTTGTTATTGTTGCGCATAGAAACTAGTACSTAATTGTTGTACACTTTGTACTGCATAAATTAGGATAATCTATCCAAAACAGCACAAAAAGTTGATCACTATGTAGCTGTTCTTCTGCATTAAATTCACTGGAACTGCCTCATTTCACTGATTTAAAGGTAAAATTTATTTTAAAAAAAAGCTTTACATCATCTCATGTTTCCTCGGTGTTGACCAATTCTCTCTGCTGTCTCAGTGCTTACATAACCCTGCCTCTTCTCACACACTCATCTTCATCATCTTCTCACACTCCTCAGCTGCTAGGGTTTAAAACGCAATTAAAATCTTTCATAGTCATCGATTTTTTTATTTAAAAAAATCTAATTTTCAATGCTTTACATCATGTGCTGATTTAAATAATACAACAAGCGAAGCCAAACAATCTTTCATGTTTAAGTTGGGTTTAATTCCTATATTCCGCAGTTTAGCTATTGAGTTTGTCTATTTGTCCAGTTTTATTTTAGGCTTTTTTTTAATAGATTTTTTTTATGCCGAGTTCCCAAACGGGTTTGGTGTTTAAGAATAGAGTAAATGAAGACATCAATCAAACAAGTTACACCCGGGAAATTTCTTGTAGCTGTTGGCCTTAAGCCTTTTTGTGTGAAGAGTAGCCACCACAACAAATCAGTGAGTGTTTAAAAAGTGGTTTGGTTTGTCAATTCTTATATTTAGTTTATAGCTTGAGGTTTAATCTAATCAAATCATGCTTATATATGATATTTTTAAATGGTGCAAGTTGAGAATAAGCTGTTTTAACTTTTTCACTTTATGTAAGTGGAAATTATCTTAAATGGTCAAAACTTTAATTATAAACAGCTGTTCAGTCCTTAAAAAGCCCAGTTTTAGTGTCTATTGTCAGTGCTAAACTTCACGTTCTCTTCATGCTAACCTGTCCTTAAAAAAGTCCCAATGTTTCATGTTTTTCCAAATAAAACGCCCTACTTTTTTGTGTAAATGCCACCCCTCGGCRTTATAGTTTGTTGCTATGCAACAGATTAAACATTTCCACTGCTCCGAGTCGTAACGTGGTCTAAAAGCAGCTGTGACCACTGACTGTGTGCTCGTTCTGTTTTCCACACGCTCATTTATTTGGATTCGACTTTTTGTGGAAAGTTGCCTCTTTAAGGCAGAGCGAAAGAGCTAAATGTGTTGAACTTCTTATTCAGAGGCTCCTTTTCCTGGAAAGCTTTCAGTCAGGCTCAGTTCTTCCGTTAGAGCAAAGGATTTGATGGGATTGTGATTTTTCTTCTAAGCGGGACGATGAGACGTGCGATCAGACGCCTGCTGGGTGAAGCCGGTAGTCTGTCAGTAATATCCACCCAGTGTGTTTGTGAGGAAGCAGACGCCCAAACGACAGAACAGAACTCAGTCTGAAGTTCTTAACTTATACCTGAAATTCAGTGAACTCCCAACAATCATCCTCTCAGCTGTCTGATCTGTTGTCTGCGGGAATGACCTGCTGTCACCTCGGACTCCTGAAAGAAATAGACAAAAGTTCATTTTAAACACATTTGACAAAGGGAATAGACTGTGCATTGTATTTTTTTAATAATGATGAACATGTTTGTTCTTCATCACGCCTTGTCCTTAACGGACGACCTAAAGTCCTCCTGCAACTCTAAATACATGGTTTGTCTGAGACTTCTTGTCTCCGTTAGTGAGTTCAGACAACTTTACAGTGCGGCACGCCACAATTAAAGACACTACTTAAAGCCGTGTCAATGCACATTTAACTTTTTATGTTTTCACATAACTTTGAGTTCCTCTTCAGGAGGTTTTAAGCAGAAGACAGACCATGCCAGCTGTTTACTGACTCATTTCAGACCTAAACTGAGAGTCACAAGATGCTCTGTGGAAAAAAAACACTAAGACACAAATGTGCAGTCGAGTTCTGTGCGTGTCTAATGAAACGAGGATTGGCGTTTTACACGGGTTAAATCAAATATTACTGTGCGTGCAGTTGTACCCTCTGATGCAGATGACTCCACAAAACGAGAGGAAGAGCGACAACTTGTTTACATCTCTACCCTGAGTTCAGAGAAACCCTCAGGTTGTGAAGCAGCAACATGTAATCTAAGAGCAGGACTGCAGAAGACCTACCATCAGTGCTGTCCCCTCTAGCACTTTGAAAAAATAAATCCCGCTTTATGTGAGAATAAAACAAGGGGATTCCCCATGGGTTGTATACAGTAATTATTGTGTGTACACGATAGTTTTAGGGTCTATACCAAAGGTCTTTTTGATGTTTCTCTGCTTCAGCAAACTTGATTTGAATAAATGAGCGATAAACAGTGAGGTGGCTCCATTGGTAAAACTGTTGCCTCTATGAACGGATGGATGGAGTCATAAACAGGTTTCCGTAGAATTTAAAGAGCAGGGAAACAACTAAAACATGGTGGAAAGTGTCTATACAATAAATAGTTTATAAAAAGCCCCAATTGGTCATTTTGCAGCACGACGGCTCAGTGGTTAGCACTGATGCCTCACAGCAAGAAGGTCCTGGGTTCGATCCCCAGTTAGGACCTGGGGTCTTTCTGTGCAGAGTTTGCTTGTTCTCTTCGTGCTTCGGGTACTCTTATTTCGTTCACAACACAAAAATATGTACAATAGGTTGTCTTCAGACCCAGGCTGCCCTTGCAAAAGAGATCTGTGATCTCAGTGAGATTTTCCTCATTAAATAACGATAAATAAATAAATTTCCATTCACCAAAAATAACTTTTTTTTTTTCACATGAACACCATCGTAGCATAGTCTGATCTGACCAGCCAGACCATAAGTTTCCTGTTATCATGTTCACCAAACACAACACCTCAAATTACCAGAGAAAGTGCATTGTTTCACCATTTGTCATTCACCCTGCCTTCAACCCTGGAATCACTTTATTACCATCGTTGCAAACCAGCTGATCCATTCACCCTTTGGCTAGAAGTTTCTGTTTGGCTCTAAACTCGGGTGACAGACGGCTGACAAAACAGAAACTTATGATGATCCCTGGAATACGTGCTGCTTTGCCTCAGTAATCAGAAACAGAGGTCTGTTGGCAGGGAGGAGCCCCACTATGGAACATCTGAACATCTCGTAATTTAGAACAGTGCAGTAATGGAAAAACACAGTTTTGTCTGTTGTTTAATTTAAGTTGGGTAAAGTTTAGGCCATGGGGTCTTTGCCTTAAGTGGAGGAATTTAAGTAGCTGGGTATTTTTTTCAAGAGTAATTGTAGGATGGAACAGGAGGTGGATCAACAAATTGTAGTCTTGTCCTCAGTAATGAGGCCGTTGTTTCTGTCAGTTGTGGTGAGGAAATAGCTGGGTCGAAAGGCAAAGATTTACTGGTCTATGTTCTAACCTTTAACAATGTTTAACTATGGATCTTGACCCGAAAGAACAAGATTTCTAAAGTGTCACTGGAGAGAAACAGGTCTGGTTTTCTCTCCTGGACCTGTTTCTTCTGCAACCCAACTGCAGATAAGCAACAGAAGACGCATTTAGAGTTTATGTTTAAGTGCTCAACCCTGTTTTGATTTCTTCTCCGTGTTGTTTCCAGGTGAGTGTGCTGACCACGCTGGAGCGGCGGTTCAACCTGCAGAGCGCCGACGTCGGCGTGATCGCCAGCAGCTTCGAGATAGGCAACTTGGCGCTGATCCTGTTCGTCAGCTACTTCGGGGCCAAGGCGCACCGACCCAGGCTGATCGGCTGCGGGGGCATCGTCATGGCCCTCGGTGCTCTTCTCTCCGCTTTGCCTGAGTTTTTGACAAACCAGTACGAGATTGTGAAAAGCGGGAGGACTGACATGGGTCGGGACGTTTGCTCCAACAGTAGTGACCCTCAGCCGGAGGACGCCTTGTGTGCCCTTAAGACCAACACCAACATGATGTACCTGCTGCTGATCGGAGCMCAGGTGCTTCTGGGAATTGGCGCCACTCCAGTGCAACCCCTGGGGGTTTCCTATATTGATGATCATGTGAAGAAGAAAGACTCCTCCCTCTACATAGGTGAGTAGGGCTGCCACAAATGATTATTTTTACAATCGATTAATCACCGATTATTTTTTTCGATTAGTCGACTAATCAGATCATACGTTAATTGAATATAAAACATACAGCTTATCACATCAGAATGCAGCTGCTATTGTATAACCATCGTTAGATTTTAGCTAAATGCTAACTAAAAATAATTGCTGTGGAAGGTAAGTTCTGCTCTGCAGAAATTGCACAAGTTTCTCTTTCATTTTCTTAAAATGATCCCACACTTTGAGCTCCGTTGCTGGGTAGCCATGATACCAGAGCCTGTCTGTATAATGTCTTGTGACGTCCACGGCCTACCCCAGTTACCACTACTGTGCATGTGTGTCAAGGACAGAAAGGCAGATGTGGCAGTGGAAAGTGTCAAAGCAGTTTGGAGAGAAAAACAAAGTAAAGAACAAAAAATAAAAAGAAAACGATTAATCGATTATTAAAGTAGTCATCAATTATTTTAATAATCGATTAGTCGTCGATTAATCGATTAATCGTTGCAGCCCTATAGGTGAGACACCTTTTTCAGACAATAATTATGCATTTAATGAAATTTTATGAGTGACAAAGCAGGTACTGATGTATCAGGACAAYATAAAAGAGAGTCTAGTCGAATGAAACAGACAACGTTTACCCTGCAAATCGAAAAAAAAATCTGTTTCCTGCACCGCTGATTTCCTAAGGCGACGCAGAGCTGGTCAAACATGAACATGTGTTTGCTCGCTGCCGGCAGGTGCAATGTGTAAATGGTTTTTGTTTACAGAGGGCCCTTCTWTGCTGCGAGCCCGGGCCTGTTGACRCGAGCGCCWGGCGAGCATATCTCGGAAGCTTTTAATCTCCATTACAGCGGTTTTTAAAAAAGGCGGMGAGGCCGTCTTCTTTGCTCCAGCCTCTCTCAAAGGCGAGTTGCTGCTGATGCGGCTCTTCGAGGTGCTTTCTGTGCAACATTCCGAGCACACAATGRCTCTGTAGGGATATAGATTTGCTGGGATGTGTTTATTTTTTGCTATCGGTTTACAGAAAGCAACTTTAATACTTTTTCCAGATGCCCGAAGGAAGCCAAGTCCTCCTGCTTTGATTTGCCATAAATTCATATAAAGTGATGTCATCTTGTTTTAATTGTGTTAATAATTTGCTCCTAAACGACCTTTGATGTGTCCGAACAGTGTGTGATGTTTGTTCTGGGCATGGAGCAGAGACAATGAGGCAACCACACGCCCTTCCTGAAACGTTCACACAGCAGCGTGCTGTGTGGCCGCTCAAATACAGATGTCACCTGCGCACAAAGGCAGCCACTTTGCGCTGTAATCTCAAATCTAAAGCGGATTTTCCTAACTGCCACTCGTTGTGTTTATTTCTCCTGACCCGTGAGACGTTTTGTTCTTACAGAGACGTTTCAGACAATAACACAAAGTCTTGGAAACGTGAAGTCTGTGGCGTTTTGTTTGTTCGGYGGTGCACTGGCTTGTGAACAGTTTATTGTAGGAAGTGGGCTGTGAGTGATGGAAGTTTTGGCAGGCCTTAAGTGGGCAGAGATTTGCTTCTGTGCGCCAGCGATAAGCTGCTGGTAGAGCTGGAGGAAAACCACGCAGCGGCAGCAGCAGCAGGGCCTGCGAGGAACAATGTGGTATTGAGATGCGCTCAGCTGATCGGTCTAATCTTTCTGCAGCGGGCGCGTCATGTGCCCTCGCCTGCATGAATGAGGCAAATTGTCTGGAATTTAGTGAGATTTCCTTGTAGAACGCTGTGGTCACACTTTTTGTTGTTGTTGTTGTTGCAAAATATTTACAAACCCAGTTCCATTGAAGTTGTGTAAAATGAAAAATCGAAGCAATGATTTGCACATCTGATAAACCCATATTTTATTCACAACAGAGCAAACGTCAAACATTTTTAAAAAGTTGGGACATGTGAGATAAAAGGCTGTAAATGCTAAGAAACGGTATCAGTTATTTAGGTAAAATAGCTATAGCGCAGTAAGAACTTCGACTGTTCTGTGGTTGGACGCCACATCTGCCAGACTAAGGAGAACAGGGACTATTCAGTCTATCAGCCCACAGTTCAAAAGCCTGCCTCTCTGATGGTATGGGGATGCACTGGTGCCTCTGTCATGTGCAGCTTACACATCTGAAAAGACACCGTCAATGCAAAAAATATACAGGTTTTAGAACAACATATGCTCCCAACTGGTCAGATTTTTCAGCAAGGCGATGCTTAACTGCAGACTGTTTTTCATCACCGCAAATGTGGCTTTGGAGCAGAAGAGTTCAGATGCTGCRCTGGTCTGCCTGCAGTCCAGAACTCTCCCCAACTGAAAATATTTGTTGCATCATAAAACGAGCCTTTTGACCCTGTGAGCAGAAAGGTTCCCCCTGGCAGACCTCCCCTTCCAACGGTCGCAGGCGTTTTTTTTTTTTTTTTTTTTTTTTTTTTT